TTGGCTCCCAATGTCCAAAGATATATTCTCCTACTTTCCATTTAGCTCATCAGTTTTGCAGAAATAACATAAAACTAAATCAGGCCCTTATATTTGTCATTTCCAGCTCCTTCTATTCAGAATGCAACTGTAAGAGGAACACACTGCAATTAAAGTTAACACCTTTAAAATAGTTCATTCCTTTTTTATAGGTCTAATATGCAGTAATTGTCAGAACAACTAATTCGAAAACACGTAATGCCAAAGGAAAACATTCAATATATTTCTGTACAATACCTGAATATTTTCTCACTTCAGGGTGTAAAACCATTTGTTCTTCATTCACACTGATTTAATGCTACAAGCATCTTATTCCCTATTATGGGACTTGGACAAATAAAAGCAACACATTGTAAAAACAAGTAGTGAAGCTACTACCAAAAGTCATCACAAAAAGATGTTTTTATAGTATTCTGTCCTGTCTGTGTTGCCCCTCCTGGATCTCAAGTCTCCTTAGGGTCTGAATTTAATCTACAGTGCACCTGTAAAACACAACCAATAACAACTATTTCCATTTTACATATACAAAGACACTCCTCTCACAAAGGTTATAGCCTCATCCAATTCGATAATATACTCATAGAATCATAGAATCATAGAATATCCTGAGTTGGAAGGATCATCAAGTCCAGCTTCTGGCCAGGCACAGGACAACTCCAAAAACTACTCACTAAGCCAGTTACTTGACTTAAAGTACACAATAATCCCCAAAATTCATGGTTTAAGGTCCTACTGAACTGAAGGCTCAGCACCTTTCCTCTGCCCTCACAGTAAAATGTGTGCTGTGCCATGCCAGAAATGGACTATACATCCACTTGCCTGGTCACATGTAGATCCTTGGAGATAACTTAACCTTTGGTTCAGCAGAGAAATAGAAAATAAACAACAAAACACCAACATCAAACATCCCTTCCCCCCCCAAAAAGACAACAACAATTGAAAAAAGCCAAAACTCAACTGTGCTTAAATTTAAATTTGCTGGGTTGTTTTCCTTTCCTTCATGGTCTGTCCCCTTGCCCCCACCCCACCCCCCACCAAAAAAAAAATCCATTGGAAGATCGAGTCTTGAAGGAATGTTGACTGTAACCACCCACCACTCCAGTGAGTGGCCTGAGCAGCTGCCTGGAGAGTCCTGTCAGGTGGGAATTTTTAATCCTGCTTCTTTTGAGACTGTTCCGCTTTGTATAAAATGTCTTCAGGCTTATTTCAATCCTTGTTTAACACTATGGACAAAGCACCTTTGACCCTCCAGCCTGCATGATCAGGTAATCATTTACAGCTGGATCATTTTAAAACTGGTCAAAGTGAGACAGGAGTTGTTGCTGAGCACAGAAGATGCCTGAAAAACTGTTGTCATGTCCTTCCTCACAATTCCCATTTCCTAATCTACAAAGTGATTGTTGTTGGCCACAGAAAATCAAGCAGATTATTTTAAGTATATGGAAATAAACAAAAGTTTGACAAACCCTTTTGTAAATCTGAATAAACAGCCCACAATTCAGCTTTTAGCCTAAGCAATCTGAAATGATCACAAAAATGTAGACCTTTCTTTCTTTCTTTCTCTCTCTTTCTTTTTCTTTCTTTCTTTTTCTTTTTCTTTCTTTTCCTTTCTTCCTTCCTTCCTTTTCTTTTTTGAATATCCTTACAAGTATGTGATTTGAATTCTGCCATTAGAAATGCATTTCAGAGCACAACTGTACTGTTCATTAAGTGAATATCACCAGCTTTCAGCCATTTCACAGTCTTTTTTCCCAACCTGTAGTCATTTTTGTTGGCAGAGATACCTTTGCAGAATTTGATATGTAATAAAAGTTAAAATAAGGATACTTTTCAGTTTCCACTTGAGTGTGTCAGGAAACTGAGACTGAAAGATTTATAGTTTTGGGTACAAAACCTAGTTAAGAATTAAGCAAGGCAGTGCTTTTCTCTGTAGAAAAAACCCCTAGTGTTACAGTCAATAGGATTTTTTTCCGTCTACTTCTATGAGAAGAAGATGATCAGATTTCAAGATGTAAATGGAAAGGGGGAAAACTCAGTGATCCCACTAACTTACTGCTTTTAATGAGAAGGGAGGCACCTCACAAAGTCATAGCAATTTATTTGCCTTGATTAAGGAACGTACAGTAACCTGTCAGGCATCACCGCAACGACATCATTTGCACTCCTTCTCCAAATTATCTCATGCAACAACTGAAAGGGCTGCTGAGAGTGGTGGAATATAATTTGTCCTTCTTAAACAGAAAGACCACTACAGGTAAACACCCTCTTTTCCTTTAGCTAATTTGAACCATTAGTAAAAAAAGTATCTGTAGACTTGGCCTCAACTGCTCTACAGAAACACTGGAATACTTTTGAATTAAATCGATAGTTCTTCAATCTAGGACAGTCACTGCAGCGCACACCTGAATATCTCATGGAAATAGCCTAAAATGAGGATTTTCCAAACAAAACACAAATCTTATACTCGCCTATGTTTTTTCTGAGTAATTGTTTTTCACATGAGAAAGCAAACAAGTGGGAGTTTAGAGCAAGTTGTATTAGTAGGTTTTCTTTCTCAACTTCTTAACACAGGACATCCATTTTTTGTATTTACACATGCTCAGAGTACTATTGGTTACATTGCTAAAGTTTTTCCATTCCAAGCAGACAACACACTTTACTTTTTGACCCTTTTCTACCCTCCTGTCTTCAGCTGCAGTGCTATAGTATGACACTGGCTTTGCTTCTCAAAAGAGAGAGAGAGGAAAGTATTTTTCTCTAGAATAATAGCTCCCCTTTTGGCAACAAACAAAGGAGAGAAAAAATACGTCCAGAGAAACTGAACTCTTTAAAAGTGCTTTTTTGCTGTTTGATGACACAGGCATAAAGCCAAAATTCACCCATTGTACTTCATGTTCAAGATTTCTTCACACAGCTCTAAATTGCTGACAGCTCTTTAGCTACAGCCATGCTACCGGGCGCCATTATAATAGCTCGCCATACCATTATGATGTGTCAGTGTTTATGACCTGTATCCCAAAACTGGATGACACTCAAATCTGTTGACTGCCTCTAAATCACTTTCTTGGAAAAGATTTAAAGTTCAGAGATTGCAACTAGAATTGCTATTGCTCTAGTGGCCCCATCTAATCTTTTTTTCATTGAAAACACAGAAAGGTTACGGAATTGTAAAGCCCATGTGGAACAAAACACAGGAAAATACTTATTGTTCTCATATAGAGGAACACATATAATACCCACACTTGTATGAAGGCCCGGAGGGCTTTTTTATTGGTGCATGGATGAATTTTTTATTGCTACTGAATAAAGTGTTCTTGACATAAGTATTTGACCTCTAACACTAGCAAGATTTCCTCTTGGTGGCCATTAGAATATAAATCCTACTTCATAGAATCATAGAATCATAGAATATGCTTAGTTGGAAGGGACCCATCAGTATCATCGAGTCCAACTCCTGGCCCTTCACAGGACACCCTAAGAATCATACCATGTGCCTGAGAGTGTCGTCCAAATACTTCTGGAACTCAGTGAATTGAGGTGATTTTACTTACCTTAACCTTGAAAAGCTTGCTGGGCAGCACAACCTTCTTTACAATCAGTGAGAAAAATGGCCAAAAGTGGGACAGCGGGAAAAGCAAAGTGCGGGGTTGCTGACTCCTTAGGGCTTGTAGGTCTTCAATTAGCTTGCCTGGGTAATGTCTGTTCCTAAAATCAGGCAACCAGGAGAATAATGTGCTTAGTCCTGGGTAATTACCTTTCCTTCATCAGCCCAAGCCTACCTATTTGCATAGAGCTAAATGCAACTACTGCTTTGAAGAAAGGATCAAATTGCTTTTATATCTAGTGTGAATGTCTTCTGAGGATTTCAGCAGTCAGGTTAAGCTTCAGTTGACTGACAAATATGAAAGTTAGCCTCTTTGTTAAGCTACAGAAAGCCTTTATTGATTTCATTTCTTCATATTTTTTTTGTGAACTTGGTATCCCTGTTCAGCTCATACTAGCTTCTGAGGACTTTTAATTAAATCACATAATTAATTGGATTAAAAGGTATTTGTTCCAGTTTTGCTGCACAGTTTTCAGAGAATTACCTATAGATACTGACTTAGAAGAAAATTGTCTTCTGATATTTTTCTGAGTCCTTCTTGTGTCTTCTCCACCACACCTCTAGTTCTCTAACACTTTCCATTTCTTAGATCTGATCACATCTAAAACATTCCTCATCCTCCTCTACCTTCCCAGGGATGTTTTGTGATCCTGTGGCCAACAAGATAGAAAGCCAGGAAAAACACAACATTATTGGCAAAAAAGCTCTATCAGAACTTCTGTCCAAGCAGTTCTAATAAGTTCTGTGTCTTTGGTTCCATTTTTCAATTATAACAGTTGTTAAGTCACACCCTTCTGAGTTATTTCACTAATAAATCACTTTGTCCATCTGGAAAGTTCCCACTCTGTTCTGGCAAGCACTTCCAGTGGCTGTCAGGAGCCCGCACCCTGTTTATGAGATAGTCCCGCTGGACAGCAGAAAACACACACAGAGCATTGAGCCACCATTGTGACACTTCCTGTACAAAATTCACACTGATTTCAGTGGCAAATTATACTAAAAGTCCAGTGGAAAAGCCAGGCAACAGGCAGAACACATACCTTTTTGCTGCTTTTCTGCTGAACAACGGCTGGGGTCACCTGCAGAATTTGCTTACAGGTAGCATCTAGCATTTCTTTAAGGAGGAAAGTGCCTCACTCTCAGCCGTGATAATTGTGCTCAACATATGTGAAACAGCTCAAGTTAACAAAGCTTTCAAATGAATGTACCATGAGACCTCCAACTTCTCAAATAAATTTATTTAAAAGGTAATGAAAACTGGCTCCTGGTACCCTGCTCCTTCACCAGGATCTTTCCCTTCACCTTGGCTGTGTCAGGATGCAGAAGGAAGTGCTGACCTTCTATGTGCCTACTCTGTAGGTGGAGAAGCAAAGCCAGAATGGTTTTACAGGGATCTGCTTCTCTTCCTCCACATGCTTCCTCTAGTAACTGGGACACCTTGGTAAGTCTTGTGTGTATCTTCAGAAACAGGAATGGGAAGAAAATCATGAAGCTATGCAACCTCAAAGATTCTAAAGATACACAGTAACTATCTATCATTTTTCTATTGGGCAGAAAGTAGATATTGAGGTAAAAAAAAGAAAAAAGTTGAAAGAGTGGGCACCAGCTGGAAGAACTACAGAAACCCCTTTGACTCACATCAGCTACAACTAGCAAATACCTCATTGCTCACTGATAGACACGGCACTGCAGACAATACAAACAGATTTCTGTGGGGGCACAATGTATGACTCCCTTCAGAAAGATGTTAGATATAGTGAATCTAACTCTTCAAGTATGAAGGATAAAGCTAGCTTGTGCTGATGTAATTAAATATTGAATCTGGAATTAAAATATTTTCTTTATAAATATTGTATTTTTACTTAATCTACAAATATTGGACAAATGATTCTGAGGATGGGCAAACACCATCTATTCCTACAACTAACATGGAGACAGCAGAGAGACTGAGCAAATTTGACCTGGTTCAAAAGAACCAGCCATTTTTAGGGAGTTTCTAATCTTAGCGAAGAGCACTGAAGGCTTCTAAAACAGCTACAGAGACATATATGAAGAACAATATGACATGTCATGGCTGGCTGGTGAGAACAAGACAGAAGAGGGCTTGCAATGGAGCAAGAGACGAAGATGGATTGATTTGAGTGATGTTTAAATTTGGTTTATTATGGGGCTGCGGTTGACAATGTTGCAAGCTTCTCACCTCCCAGAGAGATAGGCATGTGGGCCATTCTTTGATTTCATAAATCATCCAGGAACATACCCAGAGCATTGACCTTTTATGGGGAGGAAGCCCAGGGCATTCAGCATAATTTAACACCGGCATGTCGGATGATGTCCAGCACAGTTTAACACTCCTTAACCTCTGCCTCATTAGACATCTGTCCTGTCATTTATCTTTCTGTTTATTTTCCAAGTGATATATTATTGGTAATAACTAAGGAATGGGCACTAATGTTACTCTCCATGGAGCTGCCATTAGTCAGCTGGAAGTCAGGCCAGCATCACTCTGAAACTGGTACACAGAATAGCTTTTAAAGGATTTCAGATATTCTTTGCCAAGCAATTTCCTCCTGGCATGGGAGCTAGCAACCTTATTATATGATATTTTATTTATTTTTACTCTTTCCAGACCAGATTTTAGGAATTTTTTAAAGTAGCAAGTATTATTACTGCTAGTAATAAGACCTGAATAATTTTTTTTGCAGCAGAAACTTCATCTTGTCTGTGACAACCGTGGCTAAATTAGAAGCCAGCAGGGACATGGCAGGGTCTTCCATTCAAACCACATTTATATACATACTTGCACACCGAGAAAAATACATATACAAACACAAACACATATACTCACACCCCTCCCTCCTTCCTAAGTCATTGCCATAATGGCAGACATTAATGCTCCTTTCTATATACAAGTATTTTAGCACATCTATAATTGACTGGATATTGGAGGTTTCATTTATGCTGCCTTTCTTTATCAAGCTGCAACTATTTTTCTAGTATTTGGTATATTAAGTTACATTCTGAAAGGGGAACAAAAAGCAAAGAAAGCATGGGGCCACAGTGAAGGGAAAATGAATTATTACACATTTTTTATGTGTTGCGTAACGTATGTGTTGTGATATTGGATGGGAAGTAAATTCCAACAAAGATTCTTCTATGGTGCACGTGGTATTAAGCATGAATTTGGATTTCAAGGAGATTATAAAGAAGGTACAAGTCCAAAAGGACCTGTAAATTAAAAAAAGAGGCATTCCAGATTTGTTTATACTGTGGATATTTGTGAGTCAGTTCTATAACAGTTATAACACCTTGAGAAAATATTGATCATGTTTTGTTTAGCTGAATATCAACATTTTGCTTTTAAATCCATGATCACATGAAAGATATTGAAATTTTCAACAATAACAAACAATTTTCTATCAGCAGTATTACCATTGCAACACAGATTGAAGTAGTTAAGTAACTCACTGGCTGACCTGAAATGTCCTCTATTTAAACATACACAAAGAGACACCTTTAGAAAAGAAAAATCTTAAACAATATGAAATGTCCTGAGAAACTGCATGAAACGGGTATCCTTGAAATTTGGACTATGGTGCTGAGAAAGTGCAAAGCAATGGGAGGCAAGCCTGGTTGAGGCAGGCAAGCACAGCCAAGAAGGAATTCAATGGGTGGGAGGGAGTTCACCGAGGTACCAGAAGCTTTACTTTCCAGATGTACTTTATTTATAAAGCACTTAATCCTTTTCAAACTACCTACATCCCACACAGATTTGACATTGCTTTATTGCTTAATTAGTACCATAATCTCAGGTTTTGTCTAACACCGTGGTTAGAGAAAAAAGCTACATCTCTGCACATGCAAATGCTGCCAGATCTAATAGGACACTGTGGAACTGATTTTCCTATCATAAACAAGACATCTACTCTTTCACTGCTTTGGTTCATGCTATGTAACTAGCCGTTTAGCCGTACCTTTTTGAAAGTTGGGGTCATATAACTGGAGTTTAAATCTTGAGGGCTACTGTCAACTTCTTGACTCAAACTCTTCAGCTACTTCTTTAACAGCGACAAAACTGTGTGTACCAGTGAGTCACAGGCTGCCTATGCATTACAGGATGCACTTATCAAAAAGGCAGAGTGATCAGAACAAATCCAGCAAAGTGTTCCTGGGAATATGAAAGTCACCAATATAACACCTTGTGAAACCTCAAATATTGTTGGCTGTTTGGGTCACCCACATTGACAGAAAGGGAACTTGTACCAGAACAAATGCAGAAATGGATGTTGGGATGATCCAAGAAACAGAGAGTTTATTTTACAAGAGGAAATTAAAAGACAGTGGCTTATTTAGCCAAGTAGATCCAAGCCTGAGAGGGGATACAGTCACTCTTTGTAAATACAGCTGGAGGATAAGCACCAGAAAAAGGAAAGTGATTTTTAAGCTTAAAGACAATGATTTGGCATAAGAACAAAGAGATATTAGACAGACATTAAGAAATTCAGGCTGGAAGTTAGGTATAGGTTTCCACCTCTTAGAAAGGCACGTTTTTGGACCTGCCACCTTTTTGTAGCCTTGGGGTCAGAATTCTCCATTAGTTTGCAGTGGATTATGTAAGATTTTACATGACAGAGTCCAAGAGGCCAAGCGCACACTGTGCATCAGTGCTCTCTTCAGCTCTTCCCACCCTCTCCCAGACCACCAGGATTGTGAACCAGTCCAGACTCTACTTCCAGCTCATATTTCTGTATCAGGGCATAAAAAGCACCAGGATGGAAATACTTCATAGGATGTCCATATTTCAGTAGTGTCTCCGGATGGGCATCAGGAAGGGCTTCCAGCTGTCTAGGTATGCGACTGAGAGATCTTGCAAAATTCTCTCAGTCAGAAGAAGCCTCCAAGAGTCCATTTCTGCCCAGCACAACCACTGAACTCTGTACTCATTGCCTAATCCTACTTAAGAGCAGCATTTAGATGTTTGTGAGTTTCTCCTAATTAAGTGCCAAAAGTTTCAAGCTTTCTCCTCAGTGAGGAGAGACTCAACCTACCCTAAACTTGACGTAAATCTGATGGTGCTAGTCAAGCTACGTGAGTCAAATATGTCTCAGGTTTTTTCCCCCATTAGTAATAAAATGTAAAGCTTTATTTGGAAAGTACATAATTAATAACATTGTCAACAAAATTCATAATTTCCCCAGCATTACCCCATAAAGAAAAGCAACAACGTTAGTACAAAGCAGGCCATTAAAAAAACACTGTTAAGCTCTGTGTTTCTAGTTAATTTCTAAGGCTTGTAGTTTTTGCATATAGTAGTAAAAATGGATTATGAAGAATATTCTAAATCTATAAATGCATCTAATGAGTTGAAAAAGGAAATGTTAGGGTTTATAGTCTTCTGTTATTATTTAAAATCCCAGACAGGGTTACTATAACAGACACAAAATATATTATGTTTACCAAGAAATTTAAAGATCAGAATTCCTGTAAACACTAGCATAACATTTGGGCAAAATAAATTCAGTTTGCCTTTCTGTGTTAATGATATTCTGGGTAAACGCCTGCAGATCATTTTCTTTGAGAAACATTAGTATGAAAAAGTATGAGGTTTTGTTCGGGTTCTGTCAAGATAGAAATCTTGCTTGCTAGCACTGGAACAAATCCCCGCCATACATAGGCACATGCTGCATGACACTGAATCTGAAGAAAACCTCCATCTTAACCTCCCTCCAGATTGTGGTGGCAAAGACTTGAAATCTGACTTGTACCTGTGTAGAGTAATCCTCTGCACTGCAGAGAAAAGAAAAGGGGTCCCACTCACCTTGTAACAGCAGTATTTTTATCTCCCGGATAATTCATGCAGGAAGGGGTGGATGGGAGGTTTGCTCTTTCTTCAGAAGATCAAATACTTTGGTCTCAATGCACTCTGTATTCTCAGCACACTGGGACATTATCAGCCAACAGGGACCCCCACAGAACAGGCACCCAGCTCTGGTCTGAGGGATGTAGTGCTCTGGGGTATTTTGAAATGTAACACAGATGTCCATACTGTCACTCTGCAAAACATTGTGTTGTAACCTGTTCTGGAAAACATACAGAGGACAGGTCCCAAAAGCTACATTCTTCTATCCCTAAAAGTGGACATTTAGTTTGAGGATGCAGAGATGGCTCCTCATAGAGTCAAGTGTCTGACCTGTCCAGATTGACAAGGTTTATGACCACTGTTGGGGGAGGGGAACTGATCAGGAAGACTCCTTCAGTCGACTTCACTGAAGGGCTTTATGGCTTCCCTCAGCCCAGGACCACATCCTATGTGCCACTGTGAGATCCTTGGCATTAGAATGTAACTTCTCAAAACAGGATAATGCTCAAAGCCGGATCTCAGTTGATGGTTTTCAGCAGCTCCAAGGGTGTTTCACATGAGCCACCAATTTGTGTTTGATTCACACTCAAGAGTACAACCATATCAAGAATGTGTGAAAATGACCATAGAAGCGCATTCACCGATCAAAAATGCCAATATCTGAATAATTCCCAAGAAAAATTTCTATATCTTTATTTTTTACAAAAGTATTCTTTTTTTTTTTTTTCTGGTTCACACTGTTAACAATCCATGCTATTTCAACACAAATGACTGACTATGGACATTCTCCAGTTCACGTGCTGAGACATCAGGTCTGAGATGGTTACATGTGTTTTAGGGATGCTGGATGATCCATCCTGGGAGATGTAGTCCCCAAAATATACTCTAATACACATGGGTAGTGGCAAGTCCCATGGCAGTTGGCTAAGCGAATCACGTGTTGTTTGAAGTGCATATAAAACGTGATGTTCACTTCCAATAAACAGATTTGGTTGCTGGAACCCCAACCAACTGGGTCATATGGTTTATTTATTATATTAATAAAGCCACAGTTACACCATAGTGTCACCTGGACCTGCTCCAAACCACATGAGGAAAGGACAATTTAATAAGGCTGGATATCATCAGCTTTGCAAAGGACCCTATTGTTAAAGTCAGTAGGAAAGATCTTCCAGAAGATACAGATCAGATGTCTTATTTTCCTTTAAACTCGCCTCCAAAATTTGTTCACCACTTTGGGCTCAGCAGGAGTGATACTCCATGCATAGCAACTTCTGTCTCTCATCCCGTCACACATGTTCCTCTCTTTCAAAGATGATTTTTTAGTCCCAAGACTCTGGTGCAGAAGTGCTGAAGTTTTGTCGATGTTGCAAAGCAATGAATACAGAGGCTGTGAAATTTCCGGCATTCATAGCAAGTTCATTTAATCTTTGAGTGTTTTTCTGCCACCTTTTAGATTGATGACCTTAAAATGTCTTTGGATACATCTGTTAAGTTGCTGAAGTTCCCTAAAACTTCTGTTGGAATTCAGCTTCATTTCAATAACAATGGTACAAAAATTTGGAAGGTACATACATTTCCAAGAAACACTATCAATTCCCAGACCAATTTAGGTTCCCAGTTGCCCCAGTTACATTTTTTAAACTGAACTTTGGAATCAAAACCTATTTCTATTTACAAAAGTTCTTTTTCCTGGTGCCAGCATAGGAAGCAACATCATGTGATGCTGATGAGTTCTTTGCCTAAGGAGATTACCATTATCGCTGTACACAACTTTCAGAAATTCATACTGTGAATGGGTTTTCACTGTTTTCTGCAATATTTTCTGTTTCTTCACTTTATTTTTTTTTATAAATCTCTCACCCATATTTAAATAAAATACATGAACAATTCCTAAACAAGGAGGTTTTGTACAATGGCATTTAGTGTTAAGATATTAAGGAAACAAGTCTAGACACATGCTAAGTATCATATCATTCCTCTTACCACCACCACCCATGTACTATAGCTGGATAATTTCACTACGGCACCAGAAGGCCCTGCTTTTTGTTAACCAAAACAAAATCTTCTGTCACCTCCATAAAATCAGAAATACTGTTGCCTTTTCTCCTGTATAGGATATGGTACAGCTCTTTCTGAAATCTTCAGACTTGCTGACAGAGCAAAAAGTGAGGAGCCAGATAAATCTCCTTCCCTCCCCCCAAAAAAGGCTATTGAGCGTACCTAACAGCCCAGACCTTGCCAGGTTTTATTCCCTTTTAGAACAAATTCTAATAAATGTATATATTGTATATTTTTAAAAAATTCATATGGAAAAAGAAATTAACCCAAATGACACATGTCCAAATAGCATTTAAGTTATACAAAAGAGTCTTCTTCATTTAGGTTACAAGATGGTGGTTAACAACGAGTAGGGTTATAAGGTGAAGACATTAAAGGACTGAATTAATAGTCAATGTCTGAGGGAGTTGATATTAATGTAGCCAAAAAAAGAAACTGTGCTTTCAGTTGAGGTTTGGAATAAGTGGTGAAGCACTGAAGGAGAGATACAAGAAGGCTGTTTTGGATGGCAGGAGCTTAAGAGAACGTGATTGTCAAACCAGTGGTGTTTGGAAAGAACCAAGAAATCAAGATATAGCAAACCTAAAAGAGCAAGAGCAATGGCAGGAAGATAAAGACAAGAATGAATTTCTAAGAAAGAATGGCAGAAGTTAGGGGAGGTCTTTCAAAATAGCACAGAAGTATGTAATATTGTCATTAAGATATTAAAGAGTTTAGAAGAAGAAAACAGGTACAAAATCCAGATGTCCCTCTGTGAATACTTGATGTGTAGTAACAAAGGTCACAGACTCACTGCTTTCAATAAAGGTCACCATTCCACACTATAAAGTCCAATTTCTGAAATATTGGATGAAAGGTTATTTTTGGAAGCATAAAATGAGAAATCATTGGGTCTCTTTTGTATGCTGATTTACCAGCTTTTCCAAAGAGCAATATAAGAAGTGTTTATGACTTCCTATCAAATATGGCTTCATTTATTTATCAGAAAGTTCATAGAAAGTACAGGAAGTGAGCTCCTTTATTGCTTACACCAAGAGTGGGGGTTAGGAGCAAATTTGTCCCCATATCATTACGGGGAGAAGAGAAGGTTTGGGAAGGTTTGGGAAGGTTTGGGAAGGAAAGGAGAAGAGAGGAGAGGGAGGGAAGGGGAGGGGAGGGGAGG